ATGAGCTTTAGACTCAACCGAGAGATAAAATGGAGTCACTGAGTAAAAAGAAGGTAGCATAGCCCATACAGCAGAGGTCTGAAGGAGAGTAGGATGTTATGGTTATCTGCTTTGGTTTTATTCTTAACTGGTAAGAGATGGCTAGATTGATTTTTTTAATCACTAGCCTGGACATTAATTCCATTCACAAGCTAATTTACCATTAGCGCAGGGACAAAGAAACTGCTGTTATCTAGTAAGTGTGATAATCTTTCAAAAGCCAGCTCAAGCGCTTTTTACAAAGCCTTCCTTGATCATGGTAGCCTGAATTGATATTTCTCGCCTCTGAACTCTTAACACAATTACTGCCTAAGAAATTTATTTGGCTACTAATCATGTGCTGTGTTATGACATTCTTTTACTGTCAACTTGAGACGCTATTTAAAATTGCAATTATTTAACCACTTTTGTGTTTAGGTTTCCTCTTCATAACTAGGTTTAAATCTTTAGGGGCAGTAAATGGGACTTCTACTTCTCTATTTCTTGCAAAGCTCCTCACACATAGTAGGGACTTGAAATAACATTTATTAACTTTAACCTTACTTGGCTTGGTTGACATCTTTCTTTGCTGTCTGAAGTTCAAGAACCAATTCTTCCTTTTCCTTTTGCAAATTGATGACTTCTAATTCTAGCTCTTTTATGTTATCCTAGAAAGGTTATAGGTAAAAGAGAAAGAAGACATTACATGGCACAGGAAGAAAAATCACTCCAGCATTCCATGTCTCAAGGAACTATGCATTAAATTTTACCACTTCGATTGCACGCTGAAAACATTTATTCTTGATTTGATGGAGATTAAAATTACGTAGTAGGAAATGTTTGGAATCTGAGGGTCTGGGTTTTAATCTTGACTGCCACACTTAATAAGTATCTTTAAGGAAAGTCACTTCATCTTTTAGTTTTGGTTTCTGTTCAGAAAAGAGTTTATATACGTGTGTGTGTGTGTGTGTGCATGAATGTATATGTGTGTGTATATATACTATATCATATATATATATAGTGTGTGTGTGTGTATATATATATATAGCCCAGATTGGTCTTGAACTCCTGAGCTCAAGTGATCCTCGTGCCTCTGCCTCCAAAAGTGCTAGGATTACAGATGTGAGCCACCACATCTGGCCCTTCATTTGCTTATTTTCTTTCTTTTTTTCTTTTCTTTTCCCTCCTTCCCTTCTTCCTTTCCTTTCCTTTCCCTCCCTCCCCCTTCTCCCCATCCTTCTCTGTCTCTCTCTCTCTTCTTTCTTTTGAGACAGAGTCTCACTCTCACCTAGGCTGGAGTACAGAGGCATGATCATGGTTCACTGCAGCCTTTATCTCCTGGGCTCAAGTGATCCTCCCACCTTAGCCTCCTGAGTAGCGAGGACTACAGGAATGTGCCACCAACTTGGCTAATTTTTGTATTTTTTTGTAGTGATGGGTTTTCGCCATGTTGCCCAGGCTGGTCTTGAACTCCTGGGCTCAAGCGATCCTCCCACCTTGGCCTCCTTAAAGTGCTAGGATTATAGGCATGAGCCACAGCACCCAGCCCCATAAATCTTGACTGTGAGTATGACTATATACTGACTCCTGTGAGTCCTCCTAGTGAATCATTCGATCTACGTGAGCTCTTAGGGACTCCCAAAGGTTTCCCTATCTATGTCAATAATTAATAATAACACCTACCTCACAGGGTTGTTGGGAAGATCAAATACGATAAAAAGGTAGACACTTTGTAAACTGTAAAGAGCTGCACAAATATTCTTATATTCAGAACTTTCAAACTTATCTATTCAATAACAACTGCAGTTCTGCAAGCATTTAGAAAAAGAAGTCTAGAAACTGAAGTTTGACAGTGGAAAATCCAAATTCCATCCTATTCTCATAACCAAAAAAGATCGGAGAAAACTGACTGGATGAATAGTTGGCAGCGAAGAAGATTATATGCAGACCCTAGACCAGTATTAGACTGACACAAAGAAGCAGAGGCAGATTAGTTGGGGTTATATCAGAGAAGCTTTCTAAATGCTTTCTAAATAGGCTAGAGCTGTTTTCCAAGCAATGTACTCAGCCACTTCAGTATAACCACTGAAAATCAAACTTTATAGTTACCTTGCCTTTTTTTTTTTTTTTTTTTTTTTGAGACAGAGTCTTGCTCTGTCGCCTAGGCTGGAGTGCAGTGGTGTGATCTTGGCTTACCGCAACCTCTGTCTCCCAGGTTCAAAAGATTCTTGTGCCCCAGTCTCCCAAGTAGCTGAGATTACAGGCACCCACCACCACACCTGGATAATTTTTGTATTTTTAGTAGAGACAGGGTTTCACCATGTTGGCCAGCCTGGTCTCAAACTCCTGAACTTAAGTGATCCACCCACCTCGGCCTCCCAAAGTATTGGCATTACAGGCGTGAGCCACCATGTAGCCTACCCTGCATATTTAAAATCACTAATAACATGGGTGTGTATGTATGTATGTGTATATTCATATATTCTTTATATGACAAATATATTCTATATTCATCTATACTTACAACATAGAAAATATATTCTATATTTTTACTTATAGAAGTAACATATAAATATATTTATATAAAAAAATAGATAATACATATAAAGGTCAAGTTCCCTTGACTGCCTCACCCCTGCCAAAATTCCAGTCCCCCTCCAGAAGCAAGCACTGTTACCAGCTTGATGCATATCTTCCATTTTTCTAGACATTTACATATTCAAATATTACATATCTAGACATTTACATACACAGTCATATGTCACTTAATAACAGGAATACATTCTAAGAAATGCATTGTTAAGCAATTTCATCATCATGTGAACATGATAGTGTACACTTATACAAATCTATATAGTATAGCCTACTATACACCCAGGCTATATGGTATAGCCTATTGCTCCTAGGTTACAAAACTGTATATCATGCGACTGTACTGAATACTGTGGGTGATTATAACATAATGGTAAGTATTTTGTATCTAAACATAAAAATGGTACAGTTAAAAATATAGTATTATAATCTTATGGGACCATCATTGTATCCATAGTCTGTCATTGACTGAAATGTCATTATTTGGTGCATGATTATATATTAAATAAATGTATTATATATTACATATCACATAATATCTATTACTAGAATATGTAATTGATGTAAGTAAATATATAGTATATACACACACACGTGTGTGTTTATACCAATTAAAATGTGTTAAACATAGACTTTTATATATATATGTTATCCTGTAACTTGCCTTTTTTTACTTAATTAGTCATGGAGATTTATTTATATCAGCATATATAGATCTGCCTTGTTTTTTTGCCATAATGAAATATTCTGGTACATGCCTTCTGTGCACATGTGCAAGGTTTTACTAGGGTAGAGAGAAGTGGGAATTACACAGTCATGAGGGTATACATTTTCAATTTTTATAGACCTGCCAAATTGTCATCCAAAGGGGCTATTCCACTCTTGCCAGCTAAGTATGAGAGTACTTTGCTTGCACCCTTGTCAACATTTGATATTGCTACACTTAAAAACTATTACCAATCTGAGAGGTGAAAAATAGTTTCTATTCATTATATATACCACATTTAGTCCCTAATTGTCTTACCAACTCCACAAGGGGGAATTATTCAAAAATTTAAGTCCTGGTTTACTACAACTCATGGTAATCTTCATTAATCAGACCCTATGCCTCCCCCTATTTTTCTCTGGCAATTCTTTACAAGTGACAGGAAAAATACCATGCAACTCAGGAGGCTGAGGTGGGAGGATCACTTGAGCCCAGGAAGTCAAGGCTGCAGTGTGCTATGATCACGCCACTGCACTCCAGCCTGGGCGAGAGAGTGAGACTTTGTCTCTAAATAAATAAATAAATAATTGAATTAAAAACTGCTTTTATTTCTTAGAGAAAAAAAAGGGTGATCCACATGTGAGTAAAAGGTATTGATTACATTAAGAATTTATTTCAGGCCTTGTGCAGTGGCTCACACCTGTAATGCCAGCACTTTGGGAGGCCGAGGCAGGCAGATAACCTAAGGTCAGGAGTTTGAGACCAGCCTGGCCAACATGGTGAAACCCTGTCTCTACTAAAAATACAAAAATTAGCCAGGCATGGTGGCGCAGACCTGTAATCCCAGCTACTTGGGAGGCTGAGGCAGGAGAATCGCTTGAACTCAAGAGGTGGAGGTCGCAGTGCACAGAGATTGCACCACTACACACCAGCCTGGATGACAGAGCAAGACTCCATCTAAAAAAAAATTTATTTCTTCTTAACTTAATCAAGCATATTTGATGCCATGGGGAAAAGGACTAGATATCTTACTATAGCTATAGCTCCTTACTAGCACCCCTTTGTAGAGTTAGAAATACAATGGGCGGGGCACCCAGTGCTGGTCCTCCCAAGACGGCGATATGCATCCCGGTGATCACCAAGGAGAATTACCCTCTCTACATCCGCAGCACCCCCATGGAGAACGAGTTGAGGTTCCAGTACATGGTGCACACATCTCTGGACATGGTGGATGAGAAGATCTCTTCAATGGGGAAGGCCCTGGTCAACCAGAGGGAGCTCTATCTGGGCCTGCTCTACCCCACAGAGGACTACAAGGTCTTGCCTCATAAGTCACTAGAAACTCTCGACCAGTCCCTTTGGACAAATCACTTGAGACCATGGAGTTCAAAGACGTTCCAAGAGTAGTAATGTAGCTTGTCCATGATGACATGTGCCAGTAGCCACTATTTTACAAAACAATATGGCCTCTACAGAGGAGGTCCACCTTATTCATGAAGTCTCTGGTTTTGCAGTTAACTTTCCGGACCAGGCATTGATTCATAAAGAGGGTGAGGCATCCCAGGTGCACATAGAAACTCAGAGTCTGAGTGGCTCGGTTCCTGGAGCCTGAATTGGGTAAGGCTTAACTGCCTGCCCTTTGCTTCTCCAGTAAACACCAGTTGCCCCAACGAAGTATCTAGGCATGCACCCAGTGTGGTCACTGCAGGACCAGCCCAGCCTGGGCACTGCCTGTGATTCAAGGTTGCCAGACTTCTCCAAAGTGAGGGCACACAGAGGGCCCTCAGCTGGCAGGTTCTTCGCCTGCTTTCCCAGCAGTCCTTGTGTTACAAGTGTATTCCCTAACCAGCTATGCAGACAGAGCTACACTACCATCTCCAAGGTGAAGTTTGTCATGGTGGTGAATCCCTCCAACACAGCTCTTCGAGACAATGAAATCCACAGGATGTTCTGGAAGCTGCACAACTCCTACATAGATGTGATGTGCAACCCCTTCTGTAACCCGAGGACAATATCCAGTCCAGGGACTGATAACATGGTGATGTCTATGATGATACAGGTCTGCTGAGTGAGAACTCTGCCAGCAGACATTGCAAACAGAAGCTTCAGCATGTGACTGTTGTGGGGATGTCTGCCTCTTCCTGAATGTGATGACCATGGCATTTGGGGCAAGGCTCCATGCATGGTGCACCTCAAATAAAAGTCTTGTGAGATGAGATTTGGCTTTTTCCTTTTGTGTTAGCAGAGGATTCAACTAAGGAGAGTTTAGCTACGGATCTTTAGTGGTGCGGGCAGAGGTTAGTGACCAGACACAGCAGGAAGTGTGCCCCCAATAGGCTCGAAGCAGGGGAGGCAGGGGTGCCTGGAGCTGAGAGCTCTGGAGCCCACGGGACCTGTGACCACATGGGCTGCCTCTGCTGTTCCCTCTGCCCTTGCTGTGGCTGCCCATTGGCTGAATGGGTGGGCTGGTCCATAGGGGTTAGCCTCCTGAGCCCAGATCCAGCCTAGGATCTAGGGGCAAATGCGCCCTTCCCACGTGCGCATTCCCATGGGGGAGGGCCCTCCTCTTTCTGGACTTGGCCTACATTCTTTGCATGTGGTCCAACATCTGGACAAAGCCCAGGCCTTAGAAGGAGCCCTTGTGAAATTTGGAAAGCCTCAGGGCAGCCTGCTTCTGAAACCCTGGAGTGGCAGACTCAAGGTGCCCTTTCCTGCCTGTTGGTGCAAAGTAGGTTAGGATCCGGCTGCTGCTCTCCAGATCCCTGGGCAGGCTGCTCTGGGAGCACATGGCTAGGACAAGCCAATTGGATCTGCTCTTTCTGCCCAGAAGCCCTGCAGCCAAAGTCCAGATAACGACCAGGCCTGAGGTGTCAACCAGGACAAGGTGACAGTTCAGGTGGCCCAGGCCTGCCTCCCCAGTGTCGCTTGTTGACGTGGCTGAGTGACGACTGCCCAGGGCAGTGGCAGAGGCCACAAGGACCACCCACGCGGCTGAGCCCTCGGCACATTCCTCGCTCCATGTGTGGTCAGCGTCAGCGGGGTTGAGCAACCAAGGCTCAGCCTGCTGAGGAGCCCCCTTCCCTCCCCAGCCCATCCTCCCACCACCCCCAGCACTGGTCTAGGACTGCAGAGTTTCTCAAGGACCTTCCAGGATCCCAGAATCCCCTGGGAGCAGGTCAGCCTGTTAACATGGGTTAGTCAGGGGCGGGGCACAGGGAGGTGAACTTTTTCTCTACACATCTTTGGATTTTCATGTCTTCCAATAAGTGCAGTGTTAATTTTATAAATTATAGAAGAAAAAGAAATCAACTAGGAGTGCATGTGTGAAAACAGCATGCCCCAGGCCTCCCCCGCCCCAGGGTGAACTGGAAGCCCTGAAGTGGGCTGAGGCATGCCAGGCAGCTGATTAGGGTGCACGTGGGCCACAAGCCACCCTCACAGGGTTAAATATTTAACAAGAGCCTCATATTTGTTAAGACAAGGCAGGACCCCAGCCCAAGCACCTCTCCCCTGCAGCTAGGCATGAAACCTTTGGCTTTTAGTGGGGATCACCCCTGCCTAAGTCCTGGCTGTGGTGGGGACTGCAAATTGTTAACCCAGCATCTATTATCCTTCCTCCCTACTAACAGAATCCCAGTGCTTCTGCCCAATTCTGATAAGCAGGCAGACAAAAGCCACGTCCTACCCTCCCTCACAGCCCAGGGTGGGCAGTTGTAGCATGCAAGTGGATGGTGTCGGGAGAGACTTGCAGGAAAGACCCTGTAAAGGGAGCTCGGCTGACAATGTGCAATACCCTTCACCTTTGCCTTCTTCCTGCCCGGAATGTGGATGTGATGGCTGATGCTCAGCCAGCTGTCTTGAGAGCATGAGGACAAGATTCACACCCTAAGGCCAAGGAAGCAGAAAGCAGGAAAGATCCTGGGCCTTTGCTGCTGTACGTGCCCCAGACTACTTATGTTCAGCTTTTTTTTTTTTTTTTTTTTAAATGTGAGAAAATAAATATACCCCTCTCTGGTTAAAGAAAAAAAAAAAAAAGAAAGAAATACAATGGGGGAACACATATCCCCATGTTTCCAGGCAAGAGTACAAGAAAGGAGGAATCACTTCTTAGCCTTACCAGTAATCTTTTGTTTATCCTGGAAAAGCCAAAATACATTTGACCTTAAAGAGGCTGCATTGTATGTCCTGTTAATATGGACAATTGAGCTACATATTTAACTTACTCCCTCCTGAAATCCCATGAAAATGAACAAAAAAGGAGGTATAAATCAACAAGAATGAAGAGAGACGAGGAGAGCAGTTGAGAGATATCAACAAACTTTTGGAAGAAGAAAACAGCTGGATAAGAAGTAACTGACGTCCAGAGTGGAAAAAGCTAAAATATAACTCCTACAGGACAAATATCAAGAAGAAGCAAGCCAATACGTACCACGGAGGCACAGAGTGGAACAGAGGCTTCCTTTCTAGAGAGGCTGAACCTAATAGGTTGGACACAGCTATTGGCAGGGATGCAGTACCATACTGCTGACAGGGATTAAATAAAAGTCTGTCTATGATTGGAGAGACTTCAACTCCCTTATTTTCTCTGGGTTACTAGAACGATGGCATACCACCACTAGGCCCACACAACTCTAGGCAAAAGAATAAAAGAGTTCTTTATTGGAAATTGATTAGCCTAAGAGAAATCCATGCACATACAACTTGCTATTGGCTTTTAGTGCCTCCCTCTTAAATATGAATGGATAGCCATGGCTCACTAGAAATTTGAGGAAAGTGTCTTATCTGAAAGACAGACCAAAACAAACACATTAGAGAAAGGAAATCTGGAGGAAACAAAGGCAAAGCAGGAAGAAGAAGAAAACCTTGATAAAATTTAATTCCTATTCTTAGAGATGGGCTGTGAATCCACACAAAAAGAATAAAAGGCTATAACAAGGAACAATTACAGGATCAAAAGGAGACCTTGGAAATTAATAGCCAAATGAAATAATTCACTAAGAATGAAGGGAAATCTCCCAGAGTGGAAAAAAAAGACAAAGAAATAGAAAATAGGAAGAAAGAGATCAGAAAAGTAGAAACTAAATCTAAGAGATCCAATATCTAAGAGAAGTGCAAGAAAGAGAAAACAGAGAAAATGTAGAGATAGCATTATCAAAGAAATGATAGGAAAAAAACTGCCCAGAAAGGAGTACACATTTCTAGATTGAAAGGACTAGTCAAGCACCAAGTACAATAAATGAGAAAAGAAGGCTGGGTGTGGTGGTACATGCCTGTAATCCTAGCACTTTAGGATTGGGAGGCTGGGAGGATCACTAAAGACCAGAAGTTTGAGACCAGCCTCAGCAACATAGTGAGACTTCATCTCTACAAAAAATAAAAAATTAGCCAGGCATGGTGGCACATGCCTGTAGTCCCAGCAACTTGGGAGGATGAGGCAGGAGGACCACCTGAGCCCAGGAAGTTGAGGCTGCAGTGAGCTGTGACGGCACCAGTGCACTCCAGCCTGGGCAACAGAGCAAGACCCTGTCTCTATAAAAACAACAAAAACAAACAAACAAAAAACAGGAAACCATACCAAGGCCCATCATTGTGAAATTAAGTAACACTTGGGGACAATGAAAAGATCCTGAAAGTTTCCAAAGTAAAAAAATATGTAGGTCTATTACAAATAATCCAAAATTATAATAGACTTCTCAACAGCAATACTGGAAATAGAAGACAATGGAGCAAGGCCTTCAAAATAATGAAGAAAACATTTCTATAGAATTGTAAACCCAGCCAAACTAACAAGTATAAGAATTTTGAAAAAGCAATTTTCAGACATGCAAAGCTTTAAAGTACTTCCCTTTCATGTATGCATTCTCAGAAAGCTATTGGGGTTTTATTCCACCAAAGCAAAGGGGTATACTAAAGAGGAGGAAGACATGAAATCCATGTCAATACAGAGATGAGAAAGAAATGAAGCAAATCCCCAGGATGATGGTACCAAGCTGGTGGCTGGACAATAGCCCTAGAGAAAGCAAACCAGGAGAGAAGACTCCAGAAGGGTTGTTTTCAAAAAAGAAATGGATAAATTACCTGGTATGTCTGCACAATGAAGAGTTTTATAGTTTTTTTTTCTTTTCTTCTTCTTCTTTTTTTTTTTTTTGAGACACAGTCTTGCTCTGTCGCCCAGGCTGGAGTGCAGTGGCACTATCTCGGCTCACTGCAAGCTCTGCCTCCTGGGTTCATGCCATTCTCCTGTCTCAGCCTCCCGAGTAGCTGGGACTACAGGCGCCTGCCACCACGCCCAGCTAATTTTTTGTATTTTTAGTAGAGACAGGGTTTCACCGTGTTAGCCAGGATAGTCTCTATCTCCTGACCTCGTGATCCGCTCACTTCGGCATCCCAAAGTGCTGGGATGAGTTTTATAGTTTTGTCAAGAAGTTTGGAGATAAAATTATTGACAGGTATATAGAAAACTAAGTAAATGGAAAAAATGTTATCTCTAGAAAATACAAAGAGCTATACAAGAAAGGAAATGCAATTATACTATATGGCTCAATTTTAAACATATTTACATAATCAGAATAATTTAAACACTAAATATTCATTTAAACAAAAAGGGTGATATAACCATTTTGAACGAAGAAAGTGAGGCAGTGTGCGCAGGTGGTGGGATAAGAGAGCTACATTCTTGTCTTCCACTGTGGGAGGTCAATAGATAGTTATCTAAAAAATGTAACATAATTATACTGCCAATTCTTATGAAATATGGAATATGGAGGTAAATGTCAGAATAGGAATAGAGAACTATTTTGAGTTTTCTAAGTATTATAGTATTTGACTTTAAAAAATGATATATATGTATCTGTTTGACATAGAAAAAAATTAAGTTTTTTTGCTTGTTTGTTTTTTTGAGACAGGGTCTCACTCTGTCACCCAGGCTAGAGTGCAGTGGTGCAATCTCGGCTCACTGCAACCTCCACCTCCTGGGTTCAAGCGATTCTCCTGCCTCAGCCTCCCGAGTAGCTGGGATTAAAGGCATGAAGCTAATTTTTGTATTTTTAGTAGAGAGAGGGTTTCACC